CAGAGCTCACTTTCATACATTTTCTTTTGATTATAGAGGTACACAGAGCGGTAATTAGTGTTAGAGGTATTTGTCTGTACAATGCTTAACGCAAAATATTGTATTTCAATACACTAATTAGTTAAAATAAAAATATCATTAACAAATTACTAATTATTGATTATTAATCATTAATTACTGATAGGCTGATAGGAAGCACTTTTAAAAAGCATCTTTAGGCAAAGTGGTTGTTGCACGTGACGAACAATTAGACTAGCTAACTATTGTTGTTCAAATACGTAGATGTTTAACCTTTACAAATTTACATTTCTTAACACGTCTTAATTTTATTATCCACGTAGTAATTAGTGAGATAAGACACCAAAATTCAACAAACTCTATAAATCACAGTCTTCAATTAAACCAAAGTGCTTTTTTACTTTAGCTCACAGTTGCTGATAAAAACTCTTAGCTGCTTTTAAAGCATCTAGCACGAATTTCTCGTCACACGGATTGTCGTCGAAGAAAAATGCTCCACAATTGAGTGATTCTGAGCAAGACTCGTTGATGTGATTATCCTTGCAGCAACCGAGAATTGCTCGAGCACATGGAGACAAAATCTTCGGCCTTGGAACATCTTTACCGTGTCTCGCTTGTAGAATATACACCAGTTCGTTGTATGACAGGCTGGCTGGTGGTTTTATTGTAGAATAGTTGATATTTTTGCTACCGTCGGGCCTGCAAAACGCTTGTGCCAGTACCATCGTTACAATTACGAGTGTTGTGTAGGATGCCATTTCTGTAATAAAAAAATATATTTAGATCTATGATACTCGTAATGTGATTGTTGTCATCCAACACTACACATGGACTACGTGCGTAAATTATTAAAAATAAAGTAGCTGCTCCGGTTAGCAAGATCTCTTTCCGACATCTCATCGTTTTGAATGATACTGTTTGTATTCTACGTATATACCTAGGTAATTGTTCTGGATATTCTTGAAAATAAATCTTCAGACACTTGACAAGAGATCACAAGTCCGAAACTACTTTAGTTCATTCTTACTGAAGTGCAACTTGCATGCCAAAATTATACTTTTATACCCATATACAAATGACAGTATTACATTATGTAACGAAAATATAAAGGTCACGTGAGAGCAAACGTGAATTTGTATAATAAATGCATTAATGTCGCGAACCGACGCGCTTGGTTTTTCCAGATCCGAGGACAACGGACGCCGCCATGTCGATTAAGCCAACTACCAATACGCAAACATTAGTCAATACGATTTTTTGCTATAAGACAACGTTTGATCAAATGTTGGCTATGAAGGTAAACTTTTAAATGTGTGTGTGGTGTATGCAGACAATGTCAAGGTCACGTCGATTTGACCGTTAATAGATGTGCCATTCACATGTTACTGCAATTTGAATCACCTACTCATGTATTTACCAGGAAAATCGATTACGTATACAGATAGAGTACCTATAAAAACAATACGAGATAGAAGTGACGTAGTGAGCACAAAAATAGGGCATTTCTAAGTGTCAAACTGCACCTAAATTGGTACCTATCTAGATACATACGCATAATCTTTAGGTAAGTGAACTTCCGGGTATTATAAACAATTTTTAGAGTCTATAAAATTATCTCTTCACTCGTGTCCGCCATCGTAGGTCAGTAAAGGTAAAAAAATGCAAATACACGAATTACTCATTGTCCAAAACCAGTTATCGTGGTATATAACCTCAAAATAATTGTGTAACTCGCGTAAACATTTCGAACTAACGTGTCGAAACACCACACACCGTTGAAAATTGTAATTAAAAACGCAATTTTACTACAAATAGAATATTATTAGTATAAATTAAAATAACTTAATGTTACTTACTAAATTCCTTCCTATGGTTGGCGTGTCCGTTCTGAATTAGCACAAATTTTAGTGTTTTTTCTTTTGGTTTGCGCGAAACGTCCACCTCTCGGTTGAGTCTACTATCGTCTGAGGACATTTATATTTATTAACGTATATAAACATCGTGTTTTCTGCATAGTAGTTTTCCTTACCGATAACTGGGGATGCGGGATTTCGAATGTCGATAGCTGTTTCAAGATTTGGCAATGACGTTGATAATTCGGGCTATCGTTGTGGTTTCTCGTGAAGAACCTTTTTAAATATTATTTACTATTGCAGATTGTGTGGGGAAACCCAGCATTGTATAGATATATACAATTTACGTTTACCTGTCCACCTGTCGTTGTTACCGGTTTAATTGATATCCTTCTATTAATTTGCACTTTTTATTGGGCTAGGTTTGATAGGATATTCAACTGTATTATGCACCAGTTTAAGTTGATTTTGAATTAGTATATGTGATCGTTTTTGGAATTAAAAGGCTGGCCATTTTTTGGTAGAAGTTGTAATAATAGTCTACTTTAATATTTCGATTACCAAACATAGACACCTATTTTCGTTTATTTAATAAATGCATATGACAATAATTTATCTTCAACGAAAAAAAAACACAAAGATAATAATTTTAAACATTATAGTTTTAAAACCAATTTCTTAGACATGTTATCATTTATTTACATAAAATAAGAGATAATTAGTTTCTATCTAATTATAAACAAGGCAAAACATGTCTGTATATTGTTTTTTGTATATAGATGGTTATTCTAGAGGTATTACTAAGTAGAAACTAAATTAACCCTATATGTATATCAGAAAGGGAATTCCAATTTATTTAAGTCAATGATTTATTATAATACAATAAAATGAGTAATTAAATTACTATGTATTATGGAATCAAGTCGTCTTATACGTTTGTTTATCATTATTAAAACATTACTGATTTGTGAATTCTGATCAACTGTTTGCATTGGTTCTTTCTGTCGAACCGGAGTAGGTAAATAAATAGGTTCATCAGATTTTAACAAGAATAGTGATAATGAGGATAATAACAATTTTAAGAAACGAGAATGAAAATACAAATCATGTCTGTGTCATGGTGAATCACTGTTTTTTAAATTTAGAGATTCATTTGCATTATGTATTTACTTTACACCTACCAAAATGTAAACTACACCGTGAATGCTGAAAATATACTCTATGAATAATTTGACTACAACAATATTTAAGTTTCTAGTCGTAAACATGGTTATAAGCCCCAATGTCACTTGAAACCAGTCGAGCATCCTCGAAAAATTTAAGTAAACAGGAAATATTAATTAAAACTTTGTAAACAAAACAGACTACATACACATGTATCTTATGACAAATCTCATTAAGCCAGTGACCTGTGTACTTGGATTTCCCATTCAACTCTATATATCCCTACGTTGACCAATCATTGCCTTTTCATACTTAAGTGTTACTTATACTTAGGTACTTATATAAAACCAGTGTAAACTGACCGTCGAATCTCTAGAATGATCACATGAAGCGAGACCATGATAATCTGGTTATGTATAGTTTGATATGTAGCTGTGCACAGTATTATTCTGATGTCATTAACTTCAGTACAATACAATGAGATAGAAACTATAGACCACAAGTTTCTTGCGAATGGAAAATTGATTTTCCTGCAGTGTTTACCCATGTAACATAAAATCACGCCTTTTATCCCCGAAGGGGTAGGCAAAGGTGCACATTATGGCACTTAATGCCACTGTACAATGTACATACCTAACACCTACTTTTCACTATTTATGCTATTAGTCCTATGTAATAGGGAGTGAGCCTATTGCTATATAGCGGGCACAATTCCAGACTCCGTGTTACGACTACAGAGATTATTTTAAAACCCAGTAATACTTAGCTCGACCCGGGAATCGAACCCCTTGCCCAGCAGTTGCACTTGCGACCACTCGGCCAACGAGGGAGTGTTTACCCATGTTTACTTCCTAAAATTTTCTTCCTTATGTTTTTAATTTACTTCCCAAATGTTTAACGACTATTTATTTTTATTTCTGGTTTCTGAGATAATCCAGATATAATGATATTATATTATGTGAGTAGATTATACTCAGTGATACACAAAATATGTAAGAATATTTTCAATAGCTTTTCTATGGTATAAAACTCTTTCTTTTTTTTTTGAGACATGTAATGTATAAAGAATTGTACACAGCTAACATTTTAATTTCTTAAAGTTCATAAGACGTTGTTTTTTATTACGAAAATTATCATTTTTTTTTCTTGTTGTTAAATAATAGCAGAAAATTATTTAATATCTCTTGGTACTGATATAAAAACTCGCTAGATTTATTATGTTGGTGGTAATAAAAACAGATCTTATAAATAAATGAAGTTGACTGATTTGATATTAACATTTAGATTGATTTGATATTTGTAGCTTAAAATATTAAACAAGTTTTTTTCTTCACTGGTATAATTATTATTATAGTTCAACTGAGATAATTTTAATAGATATGCTTAAGAAACTGTTATACTCTATGTATGGTATAGTTTTCGCTATCCACGATCATCATCATATCGACCACACGACATGGACTTCAGAACTTAGATCTCCCCCAATGACTCCATTATTTCCGAGTATCAATAATTATTTCTTCCAAGTAATAAATATATTTAATTCGACCTTGTAACTTATCTCAGTTGAACAACTGAGATAATTTTAATAGATATGCTTAAGAAACTGTTATACTCTATGTATGGTATAGTTTTCGCTATCCACGATCATCATCATATCGACCACACGACATGGACTTCAGAACTTAGATCTCCCCCAATGACTCCATTATTTCCGAGTATCAATAATTATTTCTTCCAAGTAATAAATATATTTAATTCGACCTTGTAACTTACTCAAGTTAATACTAAAAGTATAAATTAACAAGTTGCAAATTAGTATCTAATAATATAATCATATACTCGAAATCATTTAGCATAAATTGGACACTGATAAATTAAAAATAGAATATTACAATAAACTTCTTGTAATGGAAATACGAACTCGTTTCATACATCAAGGAAAATAAAACCAAAGTCGATTTGTCTACGACGAATCATTTTTATTGTCATGTATTTAGTTTTAATAATACATGGGCCATAGGAACATTATCACTGTCCTTATATTATTGTACTTTTATCATAAATATTTATAATTATTTATTTGAGTATTTATTTACATTTGAACAGTGGGTAAAATCGTATTAACACAGTAATAAATAATGATGATGAATGGGTAAAAAGTTATCAAAAAATATAAACCTCAATGGTTATCTTATTATTAATAGAATTAAAAAAAACATATATGTTTAATGTACACTAATCAACCGTTTATTGCAAAAACTGAGTATTGTTAAAAGATCGCTTACTTTTTTTCACATTTCCTTGAGAAGCGAGAAATAACCGTAATTATTATTTACTAGTTTTGTAACTAGAACAAAGAGCAAAATGAGTGTTACAATTATAAATAATCACAATAAATTATTGAGCTGAGAGCTTGGATTGGGTAGTTTTCTTTTACAGTTAACTTAACACTTAATACTTATTTCTTTGTCCATAGTACGTTTGGAATCTTTCGATTACTGTTAAAATTAAATTAGGATCACAAGGCGAACCATAGCCAGAGAGATCAGGGCATCCCTGAATTGCGAAACACTCATACACAACCTGCGCCTGATGGCAGCAAGTAAGAATGGCACCATCACATCTACTTGGAGGTGCTAATGGAGTTGGTCTATAATCAAAAGGTGATGAATTCTGTGGCCTATTTGAAGGTGGAGGCCTGGTTGAGGGAGGTGGCCTGGTAGGTGGCCTTAATGCAGGATTGTCTGGTCTCGAGGCCTCTGATTGAGGCTGATCCTCTCTTTTACCTGAATCGCTTTGTACACTCCCATGTTCTACGGGTGGTTGAGGTCTCATTGGTCTGTTCAATCTTATGGGATCGAATGAAATAGGCCTACTGAATTCTACTCCGTCTTCCGAATCACTGTCACTTTGATTCACAACGAATCCCCAGTTCTGTCTCGTGTCTTCCATAACTGGCCAACGATTCGTTATTGAAGGTGTTGTGCCGTTTTTATCAGAGTCTGAGGTTTCTGGCCCCGGAGTAGGATTAGGATTTGGGTTGCAGTTGCAATCACCACGAGGAATGAATAAAACTGGGAAAAATATGGGGATATGGTGTAGTGGTGGTGGAGGTGGAGGAGGCTGTCTTACAATATTAGCTATTTCTTGGATTTGTCTGTGTATCTGCACCAATGGATCCTGGCCTCCATAATATCCAGTATTTTGGCCTTCATCTCTTTTATTGTAGCTTGGGTATATTAACGGGTTCATAGGAGGAAAGCCATAGGGGTTATACCATCTTTTCTGTCTCTGTGTGTCAGTAGAGTTTTTGTCACTTTCCACTTCTTTTGCTTTTGTATCGAGCTTGGGGTCAGATTCCTCTACTTTAGGGCCAGCGTCTTCTACTTCAGGGGTCGATTCTTTGACTTTTGGGTCAGCTTGCTTTACATAGGGGTCAACTAGCTCTACGTTGGGTTCAGCTACTTCTACTTTGGCAATTTCTTCGATCTTGCTGACGTCACTTGGTGCAGCATATACGTATATTTGCAAGATGAGAATGCCAAGAACAAAGTGATTTAGACGCGCCATCTGTAAATAAGGAAATAATTTATATGAATTAATATTTTAGAAGACGGGAATAATCATTATGAGTATTACGTACAAAAAAAAGAATCTTAAAAAATACGAACTCACAAAAAACTAATAGTATAGAGGATTATGATAATGTTGGATAACATCATTAACTACATAATTGATTTTCTCAATTCATATTTTAATTTCAACTAGTGGCCACTCAAAACTTGTTTTAAACTACCTACTATGCAATTTTATAGGTATTGCATTTTTGTGTGAACTAGGTTATCGAGTATATCTAGTTGCTTTAACTCTTTTGTTAACCGTTGAAACAGAAGCATCTTTCGACTTGATAATTGTTAACTAACTTATGTATGAAATCTGTTTTCGAAATAATTCGTAACAACTAGTAAACTTGTGAATAAGAGATATCTTAAACTAAGTATAGACTATTGTATAGACAACAGTTATACGTTGTTGAATCGATTCTTAAAGTTATAAGTTATACACAATAAACATGAATGTAAAAGAACAACAATGTACTGACTCACTACAACATAAGGTGCAGTAGATCAGTTCATTGCTTACTGTGACCTGATTGATACTTGTCATAGTAACCTGTTTATAATCTAAAGCATAATTATTCACCTCATTTCCTACTTCTACATCTAGGTTAGTTGTTAGCTGTGCCGTATTCTTTAAGATGCAAAGTTTTTCCAGAGCACTGCGGCCATTGTTTCACACACAACTCGGCTGACACCGTTTTTATTCCCATTACCTCTCCTGCCCTAATCTATCTGCATGAACACATAGTATTTTTTCCATTTATTGTACTTATTTTTTTACTGTTTACTGCGTTACGTTAAGCGTTTCATTATTCGTAATTTTTGACAATGACAATAATTTAATTCCATGAAAGTTTATCATTGTATCGTTAAAGAAATACAAAAAGTTTTGGACTTTTATTCAATTTCAAAATCAATGCCATTACACAATTCTTGTTTATCGTAAATTAAGAAAATTTTACGTGTTTTGTATCTGCACTAATTTAAATTAATTACAAATGATTACTAATATTATTTATACATTTCACTCGAAAACGCTTTTCCTGTAGTATTTTGTAAGTCTAATATAAACTCTTACTTTCAATAAGATCCCTTAAGGGATATGCAGTACCTATGTACCTCATGTTTGTAATGTGTTGTCCTTTGTAATATTGTCTGTGTGGTGTAGGTACATAAAATGATAAATAAATAAATAAATAAGATTCGTTATTAGAAAGCTTAAACTCACTAACTCATGAGAATAACTCTAGCATAGAAGTAGGTATGGTCAAAGGATTAAGTAAACTAACAGCAATTATTACTAAAACCAGTAAACTAAACAGGTTTCCAAACATGTAACGAGCAAAGGAAAATCGTAGACAGTCCATTGCTTTCCCATCGTTAACCCGTGTGGATTCAAATGGAAATTTTCATCTCATTTAATGTGTATTGATGATGATTTGAGTTTAACAGGCATTCTTTTCAATTTACCGTTTTATTTGAAAGGGCTGGCCACTTTTTCGGCATGTTATTTGTTAGGGTCGCCGCGCCTATATTTTAATAGAGATAAAAAGATTGCGTACGGTATTGATTATTAGATTTACATGGTAATAGAAAATTTAACGAGAATCGTACGTATATGTACAGTATTAATTTTTTTCGTAACATTACTATAAATGTTATGAAAAAATTATATGTAATGAAAACTTTAAATATCTTACTGCATTTTGGAAGTGCATACATTTTATTTTTTTCAGTACCTACTGTATTTAAAAGACATGGTGGATCAACATTCGAAATCAAAAGAGATAAATTTTATTTAAATCTTATAATTAAGTACTTATGTAGAATTATGAAATTCAATGACGAATTTTAAATTTTTGAGTGTGTGTGTGTGTGTGTAGAGTCAACAAATTTTGCGTGTGGAAAGAACTCAATTAAAACTTAAAAGGTTACGCGAATCTTTAATATTGTAAAGTTCGCGCCATCAAAAACATATTAAATACAAATTATAGCGAGTCAAGGTACGCCAGTAGTGTGTTTGTAGTTAAAAGCCTTTTAATTATGTCATTTTGTCATAGGATTCATCTTCTATGTTCCTATTTCTAAGAAGCTTTGCATTCATTTCACCATATCTTGTGAAGTAGAGAAAACCCTTAAATCTTGATGTTTCAGTAAACAGTTGTAATTGAAGAAGAGTCGTAGATAAAGTATTTATGCACAAAATATTATACATATTCAAATCCAGATACCAGATTAGTATACATCGCGCATCGTTACCTGTCAATTTATTACACCTACCTACCGATGTAGGTATGTACAGTAAAATTCAATTTCAGAACCGCTCATCCAAGCCATAATAATTATTGAGTTGTCAATATCCGGCAATACAAATACGTTCTCGACGTAACACGGTCCTTATGTTCATTGAAATTGAGATTAAAATTTGTCCTGTCATATCACAGTATTTTGGACTCTATACTGTATAAAATAAAACACACAAACGTATAATGTAGGTACATATGTTTGTTTAATCACAAATTAGAATTATTGATAAAAAGATCGGCACCAAATAAGTTGGATCCTAAATAAGTATGAGTCTATTGTTCGGTATGGCACAATTAATTGTTCCTTATAAGAAATTAGTACAAAAACGTGGTCATTGTATTGAATGGCGACCTGAATGGCTTTAGCACGACAATCGCGGGCGTAGTCATGACTCATGCAATGTATTCCCATGGATGGGGCAACACTAATACCTATTATTCGAATGACAAAAGTCATGCGAATCGTGAGTAGATTTAGTGCTGCTGTGTATTTTTCTGATTGATAGAATTTGGCTGTTGAGAACTGCTATATATAATACCTCGTACTCATTAGCACAACAGCGTTAAGTAATTTAAACATTTAATAAGTAAAACTTTGAAGGACTCAATCCTTGGACCCTGGATATCCTAGTCCAGCCAACACAACTGAAACCCGAGAATGGCGGTTAAAGGAAATCACCGATTGTAAACTAATTTCAGATACTGAACGACTGTTAAAACAAATAGTATATCAATTACACAATTATTTGTTACAAATCAACTCAAACATTTCCCCAATTCCATTGAGACGTTGAAGGTTACCTATTCTGTGACACCTAATTTCTGTTTTGTAATTAGACCTTAATTTTATCATACAATCTTTAATTTCCCGAAACGTATCTAATATCTTAGGAAGTTAAACTAATGACACATCACCTTGGATTAACAACCAGTAATGTTAATCTCAGATGCTGATTTCTTAATTTAGTTACTTATGTACAATTTCGAATACCCAAATTGCATTATTATCATGTTCCGCTGTGCAAATTAATTTCCGCACCTACAGTGCAACAGAGCGAATCGCATAACATGTGTATGGAAGTACCTAAATCATTATGATATCATTCTAATGATGTGAACGTAACGTCTATAATCCCATAAAAACTAAATTCGTTAACAACTTCCTCTGCGTTCATATTAATGTAAAAAAGTCTTGGATAAAAACGGCATTTACTGTTCTGAATAGATTATATTGATTTGTGGAATAAATTTGAGCCTTTGTTTAGTATTTTTAGTGTTAACGAATAACAAACATTGCTTCATTAAAAAAAATCCTGCTTAATATAATGATAGTACCTACTCAAGTAAGTACATATTTTTAACTTTATTTGAATAGGGCAATTGATAATAAATTATACATATTAATCCACTTTTTGCCCTTATTCTTACTGCTGAACTAGATACTAATTGATTCGGTCATCGTTATCTTTCATTTTAATTAGTTTAAAGTTTTAGTTCTAATTAAAAATCTTGTGCAGCGGAATTGAACGAATCTATTAATTTTAATCATCATACTGATTTACTTCATTTATTTTCACGTCATTAAGTCTCTTATTTATTATATTTTTCACATTCTCTTTATAAATAATTAATGTAAAACTGCATATTTTACTATATCTTATTATGATTCACAGTAAAAACTAAGCTAACTAGTAGCTCCTCTATCAATTATAATGTAAAAATATCATAAAGATAGCTAAAGATAAAATTACAAGACTAAGTAATTTAGTTAGGAAGAAAATTGATTAGTCTTAATAAAGATACATACAATTTTGAAGTAAAATGAACTTAAAAATAATTTCATGACATCGGATTATTAATCTATTTTAATATTAATATCTGATATTCATACAAAATCGAGACTCTAATGAAACCTTTTATATTCCACACAAACGGACTCACAGGTAGCAAGTTATACACTATGTCATAATTTTCTGGCAATTGCGACGTTAAATTCAGCAAATTGTTGGCACATGTGGTTTTAGAGTCAACCTTGATACCGCTTAAATTCCCCTTGCTTATGTGTTGGAAGTTAAAGGGCATGGTTTGGTAATGGTACTCAACGCTATAGTCGGTATAAAATATGTTTACGACATTTTGCATTCTCTGTAGGTACCTAATGTTCTGTAAAGTTTATTATTATTATTAGGACAGTCAAACTCCAAAGTTTCATATAACTTAACATCACGCATTTTATCCCCGAAGGCATAGACAGAGGTGCATATTACGATACTTAATACCACTGTACAATGTAACACCCACTTTTCACTATTTGTGTTACGAGTCCCATGTAATAGAGGGTGCGGGCCTATTGCCATATACCGGACACAATTCCAGTCTTTGTGCTACTGAGATTTTTTTTTTAAAACTCAGTAGTACTTTTCCCGACCCGGAAATCGAATCCGAGACCCCGTGCCTGGCAGTTGCACTTGCAACCACTCGACCATCGAGACAGGCAGCAGTTTCATATTTGGTATATAACATTTTTAAAGTACCTATAAGATCGTGTCTTTTTACAATATGTGATTCGTGTCTATTTTTCAAAAAGGTTTAAACCGATATTAATTACGAAATGAAAAAACCTAAATGTAAGCAATTCTTACAA